AATTCAAATATCGGGTCAAGTCGACGAAGAAGATGGAGTAGAGAAATATAAGATGCGATCGCTGGAACAAGAACTTCATTCACCTGACGTTTCGGATCCTGTCGGGAACCCTTAATCATAGGTAACCGTAGAATGGTGTAACACGTGCACAAGTTAGGGTGATATATGCACAGATTGCACAGATTGCACAGTTCGTAGCGGCAACTCGCATGTGCATTATAATTATCAGCTCCCGCAACCACCGCTCCGGGTCGTAATTTGTGGGGTGATGATTTGGCAGTCCACTTTCGAGTCATTAATTGCCTTGATTTCGTTGTCCGTGTTGGATGCACGTATCGCACTATTCTACGGTTACCTATGAGTAAGGGCTCTTGGCAGAATCCGAAACGTCGGGCAAATAAACTTTTTGTTTCACCGATAATGTACACAGACAGCCCCCGTTCATCGCATTTTATGGATGAAGCGTTAAGTCTAAGCTCTTAACTCGCAGCTCGTTTTCAGCTAGTAAAGAATATACTGGCCTGGCCTCTTCATGTTCAATATTGCACCTTTTCAGTCTTGTTTTAATGAAATAACAGGCAACATCCAGTAAAAATCTTTAGGTCACACAGCAAGATTAATTTGACTTACCTTTATGTGATTTCTGTCCATGAGAAGCACGACAATCTTGACGAGGGAATCCAGAATGTCATCTTGACACCTCTGAAGAAATAAATTTCTAAAATGTGCACAAAACTCACCTTAGTTTTCAGACGTTTGAAGAGCGGCTTAATGTACTCCAGAGTCTGGTTATATGTGGCACTAGCAATTTTACCCTGAAAGGTGAGTTTTTCTTCCTTCGATCTTTCGTTCAATGCCGTTCCCCATAAGGAGAGTAGGAACTAAAATGTTTCAAAAAGTTTGGCAAAGCTGTCGCAAACAGGTTAATAAAATTGTTAAGAACTATAGGTCTGATTACTATACGGTTCATAACCATTAAAAAGTACGCATGAAATATTGTTGCCGGACAATAATTATATGATAGAAAACGCATGGCAAGATAAGAGCTGTGGCGATGCTTACAAATTATTTACTCTAGTTATATCAAACAGTTTCAATGAACGAACTGAAGACAAGAGTCAAAGGATAAATTAAGAGGATGCTAACGACAGACCCTTCTAGGTTGTTCGTTGCGCAAAAGGAGAGCCGCTGGAAAACACAACGACAATACCCAATGCCGGTGTGGAACTGGACGAAGAAGTGTTGCCCTGAGGACTGTTAAGGATTTAAGACTATACTGATATTCTGTGATTAGGCGATCACACTACCTATAAATTGACAGAAATTGTGTCTCGATGGTCTAGTCACCGGTAATATTATCTGCCCAAAATAGTAGCTGCTACATCTGCTGTCCAGGCCCGAGAAACAAGGTGCAAAGCAAAGGCGAAGCGGGACAAGTGAGTACCCTTAGCGGTCGGTGAACGTTCGCCAACTAGATGTGTATTCGCAGTTGGTAGTAAACAGCACCCCCACTTTTATGCACAGGGTATACCGGAAGCAGCAGTGCAACTGGCAGTCGTAAAAACTCCAAAAGATTAACGTTATTCATTATAGTTTTAAGTGGTAACCGACAGCTATGATTGTGAGGTCTGCCGTTTTCGTTCAACGCCCCGCTGCACCAGGGTTATTCGCCTCAAATACGAGTTCTTAAAGGTGCGCTGACCTTACCATCGACACAATGCGTGCACCTAGACGGTCAAATCAGTCAACGGCTAACTCAAACACATAACACTTGGACTTGCCTCCACAGACCGTTAAGAGCAGCAGTCCCCACAAAAGCCCACTCTGAGACATGACTGAAAACGGTCAGCATACGCCCTGGCTTCGCCAATCGCCAAAGTCACTAGAGGCAGCAACTCAACATTATGTATAAAATAAAACTGTAATTTTGGGGTCTTGTAGCTAACCTGCTAATTGGGACTTAGCTTAATGACTATAACGCCATGAGGTATAACTACTAATCGAGCCGTTACGAGGTATTATCTGATAAATTCGTATCTGGGTTATCAGAGTATGGGTTTTATCAGAGCTTAAAGGCAACGTTTGAAATAGCGAGTTCGGGTTTACCGGCTTTTTAAACAAGAAACTCGTAAACAATATAAACTTTCGTTACTGATACCAAATTCACGGTCGTACAAAATGGATCCGTTGACATGGCATAGTTTTGCATCAATTCAATTGCTAACGGTCTATCTGTTTCATCTTCCTTTGGTCTACAGTATTATGGGTAGCACAATAGGTCAGGATAATTAAATGACAAAAACAAAGTTCATTGGTAATATAGTCATTATACAATGATGAGATGGGCATTGAATGATAGCCGCTTTAAAAGTAGTCAGTGCAGTCGCTAAAAGCACAAATGAGAAAGACGATAAAAATAGTCGAACAACTTCAAAGCTAGCAAATAAAAAACATCATCGCGCATAGTTTTGACATCAGTTTGTATGCTGGACATCTGGTCGAAAAACAGATTGCTACGTACCTTTAGATACCTCAAAACATGATCCGATACTTCCTCGCGAGCTTTCTGTTCATCCTCCGGAGCAATACGATGTTGAACAGCCATATGACATATTTTTACAGCCGCGGCTGTGGCATCATCTGTGGCCGTTCCTTCGCGAAGGGCAACAAAAGCTGAGAGTTTCAGCTTAAGAACTTCAATTTCTTCTGGAGATATATAATCTCGTTTTATCTGGACTTCCAAGCCACTGTGTCCCTCGTGTGAACCGTCAGCGCCTTCACCTGACCTATTAGTACTAAAGACGGTTTCATCCTCATCTTCGTCCACTTTTTCAAGAGCGGCAATCAAATCATTCCGCAAGCCTTTTGTTTCAGGTTCGAGCAGCTGTATACGCTTTAGTCGTTGAAACGTGTCATATTCAGATTCTCCAAAGAGACAAATTGGCTGATTTCGCTCTCTGAGAAGTCTGATGACCTAAGGCAAGAGGTCAGAATCAATTACGGTTTACATCTTTGCGGGGCATTATCTTGCCTTTCGCCTTTTCCTCGCGTTCCTTCTCAAATTTTTTTAAAAGCAAATTCTCCTCCGGGGTCTATAAAAATAAAAAGGTTATAGAAATTATTTACAGAGTCTATTAGGCCGGAGAGCTCCGACTCGTTCGCAGTGTCTATAATGTTAGTCCTGTATTTACATTTCTCGACATACTCCTCCGCCTCCTTTTTGTGCAGATCCTTCCTCCTAAAATATTTTCTGTCGGTGGTCTTATGAAGAAGTTAAAAAAAGCACAAATGTACAATAAGTTCCTTGTCCTCGAGCGCTTTGCGCTTACGAGCAATCTCTGCGACCAGAATATCCATTAGCAAAGTAACAGCCAGAAAACCTCAGACAGCTTATTCACAACAGTTTCAGGCCCTGATCATTTTAATGACTTGTAGATTGGAGTCCAAGGGAACATGACCAGGTATACCTCGATCCAGGGAGGGGGGGGCGGAATTAGGAGATCGGGGCGTATTCATGACCACTAAATACGGTCAGTACTGTCAAACGAAGACAGCACAGGCGGGATTTTTCAGCAGAAACTTCATAGGGTAGTTACTGGAAGACGAAGCGAAAATTTATTTCGTAGTTTCTTTTAGGGCGCGGACAGCTATCTTTACCATAAGCGCTGAATTAAAAACGTGATGTTCTCCTGTGCACCTCCGAGAGTACAAAGTATTCAGCTCTGCTGAACTTTTAGGAATTAGTGTTTTTGAACTGGTTAATTTGCCGCCTACGGTGTGTCGGATATGTTCATCGGCGCAAATATTACTAAGGTAATACTCTTAATGACGGGCCATGTGCGAATCGCAAAGCCATACCTTAATTAAGTGTGTAGTACTGCTACTTACACCTAAAATTAACCTTACTGCAATCATAATCTGTCTATGTTTTCAATTGCATCTCATGGTACCAAACAATCCAATTATTTAATGTAAGAAGATGTTATTTTTCCAAAAAAGGAATCTTATTTTCTGGATTATCCTTACAGCAGTAAAAGTTCCTGTTGATTTACCTTTTCTACATTAATAGAAATCATTAAAATTGAGCTAGGGGGACTACTTTTTACCCACAGGTAACACTGGCTTTGAGTTACTACCATAGCTCATTATAATAAATACCATCGCAATCAAAAAATAGGTTTTCAAGCAAATTAGGCACAAGAATAAAGGTTTTTGCTGACAGATTTTACATTTAACGCGACAACTCGACGGCGTTCGTTATACCTCCCAAGGGTTATGATACGAGGTATTTCCTCAAATACAAATCAATAAGAAACGTGGTTGGCAGTGTGCTTTTCTTCAGCCACATCTGTTACAAAGATAATGTGTAGAAAATAGTATTTACAACAGAGTAAAACGATGCTCATCCTGCAAAAGTACTTCGGTCCTTGGGCTGACAAACCGCAATTTTTCATACAATAAGTGGATAAGTAGACGCCGGCACTCTTTCTTCCTCTCGCAATAGAGTGCGACATAAAAGGATTTAAAGTACTTGTTATAGGGCAATAAGTTTAATAAGCGTTGTGTGGAAGTTTATTTAGAAAATACTACAGGACCGTATATGCGGCTTCTTTTCTGAACGTCTTTCCTTACGGTCTACCTTGTAATGGGTTAACCCGATCTTCCCAACCCCGATTTGTTTTAACGCATTTCTCACACGTTTTTGAACATTCAGGACCTACGTTGGAGTTACCGTTCCGTTACCGAACAGTCGCATTTTTCACGCCTTCCGTCTCGTTTCTCGTCGTTTTTGTACCGCTGGTTTGAAGTTTAATTTTCTACTAATTTTTTTTACTGTTAGAGACCTCTCTTCCCGCTTTATCATATTGTATCACTCCAAGTTTTCTATTATTTTCCCTCGTTAGATCCTCCTTTCTATCAGTTTTCTACTGTTGCGTGTATTTCACTTCGCTATATTAAACTTCGATTTATACGGGCAAAAGTTACTTCATTTACCTCTTCACGTATTTGACATTATGAGTGATAAAGCTGTAGTGGGTCGTTGCCTGCCCGATGCCTGGCCTTCTTGTCGTGACCTCAATCGGTCTAGACCTCAAGGTCGTTGCGGTTTCCGAACTTACTGGCGCGAGACAGAGGCCACCCACGTTGGTTTTCTACCCGCACGTAGTCCAACCAATCACAGGCCGACCTAGCCAATGAACGCGCTCCCTCTGTCTACTGGTCTGACTGCTCCAAACTGGCACTTGGGACTCGGTCAATCTCCTGAGCAGTCGTGTTCTCCCAAGTCAGACTTCTTCCATCTATTTTCCTTTCCCCTATGTACACAATGTACTATTCCTAACATTCCGGCCTTCCCAAGACTTCTTCTCTACTAAGTAACCTTGGTCTGAAGATCGCAGTTGTTGGGTTTGACTCACTTAACCCCATGCGATAAGGCTACGGATATATCTAGTGTACGCTTGGAGCTTGATCGACTTATAAAGGAAATATCTGCGCTATCATCTACAAGGAGCTGTGCACCCTCAGTCCTATCGAACCGCGCGCCTATCCCGGCGAGATCGCTTGCTGGTCCGGACACTAATAAGTATTGTGTGGAAGTTCGTTAAGAAAATCCTACGGGAACGTGTATGCGACTTCCTTGCTGGACCTATTTTCTTATGTTCTACCTATTATCGCTTCACAGTCCAGCCTATCGGAATGGATTAAACGGACACCTTGTGGTCGAGAAAATTTTCACGAGTCCTACTCGAATTTCACCAGATCAAATATTACTCATGGAGGGAATTATTTTTCATTGCCCGATTCTAAATTCATAACGAAGTTAAGATATTCTTGGCCAACCGTTCCTGTCGCGTGGGTTTCGGTGAGATTTTACTTTATCCGCAATTCTTGTATGCAATGGCGTTTCCCTGATGTATGTTTTTGGGCCGCCTCCCGTAGCCAACATATTTATCTCCGAAGAAAGCCTTGCAGTGGACATAGATAGATTCCAAAAATGCGAACTCTGATGGAGAGCAAGTGATGGTAACGTCTCAGAAACCATTCCTTATATGAACTTGGTTACTATTTTTTAATTATACCTCATACGGCCTGAACTAAGCCTAAGTGCCCCAGAGAGTCTGCTCGGAAAACATTACTTTCTCAAAGCTGATCGGACAACCGGGCTGAACAAATACTCCGGTTTCTTTATTTAAGGATCAGTTGTAGGTGCAGCGCCTAAGCCTACAAAATGTATAAAGCGTATTAGAAAAGATGCAACGAAAACTTCCTAGTGTAGGGCTAACTGGCAGTAACCAAATTACCGCACTACGCTAGTGGTAAAAGGTGGAAAACTGTATAAAAATGATAACGTAAGTAAACGATACGACTCACTAGATCCCCAACGATCCTTGAGTGCAGTAGCCAGGGAATTGACTTGCTGCAGGATGAATTTATAACGTTGGGATCCCAGCTCGTCCGTTCGGCAGGATTAGTGAGGCTAAGCATATTTTTTAAAACTAAAAAACTACTTCCTACTTTTCAGTAGGCATAC